CTGTCTTCACTACCCGTTGCTTGGTAGCGGCTCTCAACAACGGATGTTCCTCTGCTTCCGTCCTCACGTCCTCAATGGATGACGGCTGGCTTGAGATTTCCCTACTCGGATAGCTTGCTGCTGGTCCTCGCCAGCGCGGTCATTATTGGATTCAGGCCTCGTCGACATCTGTGACTAAATATTTTTTTCTCTTCTAGACATCTACGTGTTTCGAAGCTGAGCCTCTTATTCATCGAGGGGCGGTGACGGTCTTTCTGTATAGGCTCAACGTTTGCTGCATCGTAGTTTCAGCGGGAGTATATCCGTGCTGTCTCAGTGCCCAGACCACTATGGACTCTGTGCATCCTTTGTCATTGAGCTGTACTAAGTAACATTTATACAAAATACAAAGGATTTCTGTCAGCGCAGGCTTGTGCGGCAGCTTATGCCATTAACTTATTTAACCACTCCAAAACTGCAGTTAGTCAGCTGATCGGTCGCAGGCCTGACCGCCGCATGGCATGCATGGCTTCTCCTTGTTCAATACCATGTAAATTTAGATTTACATGGTATAGGATTACTTGTGCCTATGTCCTACATAAGTTAGTTATATAGTTATATACACGCAAGGAATTCTGAAAGCCACGCGCAATTCGCGGACCTGTGTGCCCGTGTCAAGCGTCGGCCGCATGCCCCCAGGTGGGCCAGGCATGAGTCATAACTGACCTAATCAGAGCTTTGCAAAGCGTGAGTTTAATATTTGTACTTAAACGCCCTACAAGCCGGAAGGTCTTGGGTTCAGGTCCCGACGAGGTGGATTTTTCAATTGACCTACCCTTCCAGACGCAATATGGCCCTGGGGTTGACTCAGCCTCTAACAGAAATGAGTATGAGGAATCTTCCTGGGGGTAAAGGGCGGCCGGAGCGTAAGGCTGACAGTCTTACCGCCATCTGTGAACCGAATGGGAGCCTCGACGCCTCACAACCCTGTGGGTCTTCCCAGCCAGTTACAGGGATAGCTTTATCTTTTTCCTTACGTTACTTAAACGCCAACATCTGAATAGGGAATTGGTCCTTATGTACGTGCGCAAGGCCCTGGCTACAGTCCTTTCGATATGGTGCCTCATGTCATCCTCCTGTCGAAGGTGACACCCAGATACGTTACGCTGTTTACAAAGGGGATGTCCTGTTCATTTAGTTGTAACACACCGCTTCCAATATTTCCTCCATTGTTGCGTGCCTATCGTTTGCGAGACTTGAGCATGTACCATGCACCACGTGCGGCGCTGATGTCAGTCTCCTCTATGGGGTAGTCTAGACTCCGTAATTCTGTGTAAATATAAAATAAGAGATTTGAGTTTTTCACGGTGGTGACTATGAAGAAAGCAGCCTTCTGGGATATGGTGCCGTGTAGATATTTTGTTAACCGACGTTTCGGAGGAACGTATCGCCTCCATCTTCAGGGTAGAAGAAAATCCGCAAGCGAAGAACCAGCGTGAGCAGATGCAAATAGACTGCAATGCTCCTCCGAAACGTCGATTAACACAATATCTACACGGGTCCATATCCCAGAAGACTGCTTACTTCACAAAGTAAGAGGATCACCGTTTTGGGGAGAAACGTGCTTATGGGCTCCTGCAGGTGTTCTCCCCTCGTGATTTAAAAATCCTCTTAATTGGGATTATTATTTAGAATTCCTGTGACCCTAGAGAGATATGATGGGATGGTATGGATTGGATTGGTCTGGCTCAGGATAGGGACCAGTGGAGGGGTCTTGTGAACACGGTAATCAACCTTCGGGTTCCATAGAATGCCGGGGAATTCTTGAGTAGCTGCAGATTTGGCGGCTCCTCAAGAAGGGCTCAGCTCCATAAGTAAGTAAGTACGACCATTCAGTACTCCTTACAGCTGAATGGGCATACCCCTCTTTTAGGAAGACGAATTACTTGTCGGTCTTGAATCTAGCAACCCCCTCTGTAGTAGTGTCTCTGGGTGTCTAAGCACCAAGTTCGGGGTTCGAATCCCTCTAACAACTCGGGCTGTGCCAGCCACCGCGGACATCACGATAGACTTCTGACTTGTTCACTTCGGTCGGACTCCTCGTACCATCACTCGCTTCACGCGCTTTGTGTGTTATTACTGTTATTAGTGCAGTTCAGTGCATCATCGAGCATTACACTCAACACACCCTTGGAGGCTAGCTCCCACTACTTGCCGGTTCCTACCGCATTGGTGCTTAGTGCATTCACGTCTTTCTACTTGTTCATCAATCACTACTCAATAATGTTCGTACTGTAACCCTGTATGACTATTTCGTTCTAATTAACCTCAAAACCGACTTCTGAAGACTTGAATTTCAATCCTTAAATGTTCCAGCGATCCCAAACCACAGACTTCCCCTCGGTCTACAAGTACATCCCATCACGATCCTTCAGGATACAACAATGGTGAAACATATTGTTTAACATTTTCTTTAATTCCACTAAAATATCTTAATTTATCCATGATGAAGTAGTGTATAATCTTCAGTAGTCCTCATGAATTACAGTTCCGATTGTGCCAACAGTGTCTCTTCGTTGGCTCTCCAAGCCGTCCAGGCTTCACTTATGTAAGCTACACAGACCTTTCCAGAGTTCTGTGGGTTGCCCTGATAGTCACACATGTGCATTCAAGGTGTGCAGTTGAAGTTCATCGTTAAATTAACAAAGAAACGAAAAATCGAAGCCATATTTAATCTCGTTCTACGCTATAGCTGAATTATAGAAGCACTTTTATACTTTATTTCGTCCTCATCATGCTCTTTGCCCCAACCTGTCTGCTGTCAGTGTCACAGAAGTGCGGTAGTACCAAGTGCATGTGTGCAATATGCATTTGCGTAATCCAGTGTGAATTACTGTCACGACAGTCAAACGGACGCCAAGCGCCATGACGCACCGCTGTTAAAATAGTTGGAAAGCTTCCCAGCGGGTGTTTTACGCTCCAGACAGATTTCGTGTGGAAGCTTGTGAAGGGCATTTCATTGACGTCTGAAAGATGCAATTTGAAATCTACGGAAGTTAAGGCCAGTAGGTATAAAGTATAAACCAGTAGCTGTGCCACGAGGCCGCGCCATAGCTCAAGCGGTTAGTCGCTGGCTTCCCACCGCGGCGGCCCGGGTTCGATCCCGGGTCTGGTCAACTATTTCATGATCCTCAGGCACCTACAGCGTCAGATAATGACCCTTCACAGTTAACTAACTGAATATCTAAGAACAGAACCGAAGGTTCAACAACAAAGTTCACGTTGGATACACAGCTGAGTCCGTCCCATCTACCTCCCATCCATCTCCCCTCCATCTCCCATCCATCTCCCCTCCACCTCCATCCACCTCCCTTCCACCTCCCATCCATCTCCCATCCACCTCCATCCATTTCCCATCCATCTCCCATCCACCTCCATCCATCTCCCATCCACCTCCATCCATCTCCCATCCATTTCCCATCCATCTCCCATCCATTTCCCATCCACCTCCATCCATTTCCCATCCACCTCCCGTCCACCTCCCATCCTCACAGATTATCGGACATGTCTCTTCATGTTGTCCTTCTACGTCGTAATTTCCAATTATTACTATTGTATCTTCCCACAAAAACTCTGTCTGATGTTGTATATGCATGTGAGGCTGGTGTCCAGCCCTCGTAACTTTCCAATTTCACTATTCCAACGATGCTAGGAGTCCTGTATAAACCACAAGGTTATGTAATGTCCTGCATTCCCCACTTACGTCATATCTCTTCGGCAGAAATTACTTCCTCGGTGTAGCTGTTATNATAACCCAAGTTATTGAAGTTATTGTTCCAATACGGATACTGCAGCTTCAAGAATAGCACCACACCAACAGGGGGCAATCTTAGTGCTCACTAATATTCAGGCACCCAACTCTCCTACATAAATCCGAAATAAGCACAGAAAGAAAACATGAAATTACGAGCACATCACTTATACGAAGACCTCCACCAGCGCTTCGAAGCATGATCATACGTATACCNATATATAACAGACACCAGTTGCACAATATGGATCCACATTGGGACAACTGACTTTAACAACTTGCGTTACAGATCATAGAAAGTGCATGACGATAAACTAAATCATAGGTCGAAGCATATAGCGAGAAATATATGCTTATATGAAATAAATAAGATACATATCAGCATCTGTTTTTGTCTTCACCAGAAAGATATTCCGCTTTATTGTTGTGTTGACTGTCATAACTGTAACATACTACTTCCTCAGTATTCACGTACCTGTAATTTACATTCTTCCGTCACAGTAAGAGACCGCTTCAGAATCATAAGCTTGCGTGGCACAGTTTTTTTTATTGCCAGTGGGGTGGGACTAAGTCACTTCTACTGCGGTCACTTCTGGCCTCTTGTACCAGCCCCTGATGATATGTGAGGGTGATTGTGGAGCAATTGGTGGAATGAAGATTGGCAGGGGAAACCGAAGTACTCGAATAAAACCTGCCTCAGCGCCACTTTGTCTACCACAAATCCTACTTGACCAGACCCCGGATCGAACCCGGGCCTCCGCGGTTGGAAGCCAGCGACTAACCGCTTGAGCTATGGCGCGGCACTCATAAATAACTTACTTAGATCTGCTTATCGGAAGATATCACTCGAGAGACGTTGTGCCCTGAGATGTTTGAAGACATCAGGTGGGGAAATTTGCTCCCTCTTCCCACTTTTTTCAAATTGAAGTGACTAATATGTTGTCAAGATAAGCTTACGTGCCGTGTAAATATTGTTAGTGTCAATAAGAGTTCAAAAGGAATCGGACGATGCGATCAGGCGATAAAACACGCCACATCATACGAGTATGTCATAAAAATCTTGTTTATTCTGCTACTCATAAGATTGAAGTGTTAGAAAAAATATTAAGCTACAGCCATGTTGTTTCACGGCGGAGTTTAATAAGCAGCAATGTTAATGCAGTTAATTAATGATTTATATGTCAGTGTCAATTCAAATCTTTTGTTCCAGGGTTCGTGTTAGCGAGACGCACAGAGAAGAACGTAAGTTCAAGCGATTATCACTAGATAGCAGCACTATCACTACAACTTGGCAACAGCTGGTTGTCTGCAGACAAGTCTGCACATCGATTGAGTTGTGCGTGTGTATACAAGTGACAAGTGCGCATGCAGTGGATGAGTGATTGAACATTTTTTTTTTGCAGGGCTACCTGCGTTAAGATATAAACTTGGATTTTGGAACCAGAACGCGTACTTAAAGAGCGATATCCTTTAATTTTATATTCAGGTAGTTTGCCTTCGCTCTCGACGTTTGACAGACTTCGCAGCACTAGCATTAGACAGAGAATTTGCGTTTTCTGCACATCAGGGGAGTTTAGTTGATTTGATACATGTATCTGCTGGTTCAGATGCTTAATGTGCATGGTAGTACATTGAACTGTTCACTATCTGATACTGTATAAAAGAGAACCTTTGCGGATGAAACAAAGAGGTCTGGGCACAAAATATATGTAATTCTGATAAGGAGGCATTGAGTTTGTTGCTTATCGACTTGATGCTTCATAAAAGATCGTCATAATAATATAACGTATTTATTAAAATGCCAGAAGATTAGGTTTTGGAAGATAAGGCAGTAACGTTATTTCAAACAAAGGATTTCACACAAACTCTGCTGTGATGTACGGCATGAACTACATTGGCAAGGTGATTAGCAACTTCAGAGACTTCTACAATGAAATCAATGCAGCCACTTTAACAGGAGCCATCGATGTGGTTGTTGTTGAACAGCCAGATGGAAGCTTCAGATGCTCACCATTCCATGTTCGTTTTGGGAAGTTGGGTGTCCTACGAAGCAGAGAAAAAGTGGTAAGTTATATGATGGGGGATTCATGATTGTTATTATTTTTTTCAGAACTGTGCTGCTGTGATCTTTGATTTATAATATTTCGTAATGATTGTGAATGGAAGTTGATGGCTGTGGTTTTAGTATTAGTAGATTTGTGCATTGCATTGATTTTCAGTCCTTTGTAAGGTGGTTGAAAAATGCTGAATTTCAAACTTGTCATGTAGGCGGAATGTTGAAGAATATTGTTACTGTTAAAAGTATTGTGATTTTGACATCCACTCAAGATAAATTTTTATTTGGGTGCTATATTGTCATTTGTATCCAAGTATTCCTCTTCTTTTCTAATTGATCATGATTAATTCCTAATCTGTTCCTTAAAAACCCTTATTCTTAAGCATCATAACATTTGGTAAAGATTTGGTAAATAATCAGTGATTCACAGAATGACTGAANCTTAAAAACCCTTATTCTTAAGCATCATAACATTTGGTAAAGATTTAGTAAATAATCAGTGATTCACAGAATGACATTTTGTCGTCTAAAAGTTTAGGTAAAAGGTCTTGAGGCTCATCCTTTAGATTATTTACATGACTGCTTCCTTGAAAGCCTTTCATGAAATATGTACACATTTCAGAATTGGTTTAGGAACACTCCTTATCGTTCAGCTTGAAAATTCTGTTATCCAGGATACCCATCCAATGTCTCAACCTTACAAAAATTAAGATTGAATTGATAAGACAATTATGTTGCTTCCTCTTAAGCTTTGTTTCCTCCCTTGAGGGGAGGAAAAAGTAGGCTTGTGAGATAACCACACCGTGTCTATGTCTCCCTCAAATGGACTAATTTACACAAAATTTTACTGGTATGCCATTAAAGCCCACTCAAATTACCATCAAATGCAACTTTCTGGATGTTAATTTTAACGCATTATTATCCACCTATTTGGCAAAAACGATTTGAACACTTCTAGCTCATTGAAAGGGGTTTCTTGAAGCCGCCCACCAAAGAAAAAAATTGGAATTATATATGAAGAAGCAAAAACTGCTGTAAGACTATCATATGAGTTTAAATGAAGACTTAAATTCTAAGTCTCTAATTTTGTTAATATGACCTTTAGGAATTCATGTTATATCTTCATGCTTTATATTGTAGTCACAGTACTGTGTTATGCTATTTACCTTGTTGTGACCCAGCATTAAAGATGAACCCATCATACCAATGGGAACTGATAAAATGATACCGAGACATGTCTGACAAACTTTTCATGATCAGATTCTTAGACTGAAGTGAATAGAAAGACAGGTTTCAGCCCAATAGGAAAGGGAGCCTAATCTAGTACATAGATGGTTCCAGCTCAAATAAAGGCGCTGGGGCTGAGGTGTGTGGTTATGGTACGAGGCAGAAGCTTAGCTGCAGCATTGGGAAATACATCACAGTGTTCCCGGGCAGAAGTGTATGCCATCAAGGTATGTGCAGCAGAGAATCCAGATAGGGACTGTAAAAATAGGAACATCTGTATTCTCTCAGATAGTCAAGCTGCAGTTAAAGGGTAAAGCTGTCCCTGTAACAGACTGTGAAGGCCCATATGGGTGTGAGAGGTCGAGACTCCCACATCTAGACAGTCGGCTCATAGGTGGCAGTGATCTTGTTAGCCTTAGGCGCCGGCCGCTCTGGCTTTGATATGGAACACAACAGTATAAATTTGAATTTTAATATTGTAATTCATGATGTTCTAGAGTCAGTAAGAACAAAATGGCAGATTCATGAACTTGTGAGGCATGAACAAAAGTAGCACTACTTCATGTAAGGCCCTGAAGTAGTGTGCTAATGCCAGTAGCTCTTCCAACAGTATGCAACTTGTGTTATGGTGATTTTTTATAGAATGTAAAATCTCATTGGAATATGCAGAAATTTTCTTAGCACATTTGATGGTGATAACTAATGAACCACTGATTGGTGCTAGATGTGACATTAGATGCTGAGATGAAGCATAAGAACATCTGCACTTTAAGTAAGCAATGTGGTTTGCAAGTCAGCAGTTACAAGAGGTCAGATGTGTGAAATTTGGAGATTTTACCTAGCAGATTTAATGTAGATAGAAGCTGTACTTAAATAATAAGTTCTTCACAAAAAAAACAAAACAAATTCAGTAGTAGATCTGTGTGACTACAATTCTGTGCAGTAAGGAGGTAGGCTTGAAATTCCATGTTAAATAGTTTCTGAAGTATTATCTCATACACTAAGACCAGAACAAGAAGAACACATTTAAAAAGTAGGAAAGGTAAAGTTGTCCCTGTGCTTAACTAATTAAGCACTATGCCATGAAGGTGTATGGGGGAATGGATGTATAGATCCTCATTTTCTACACCTTGGGACTAGTTGGAGGTGAGTGGTCAGCTTCAGCTTCCTGCCCCTGGTACCCATTGGATAGGAGGCTGGGTGGGCCCTAGAGCTGGTCTGGATGCGGAGGAGAGAAAATTCTTGAATTTACTGGGACTTGAACTCCAACCCTTCGGTTGTCCAGTCCATAGCCAGTTGCTGTAGCAACTGCACCATCCAAACTCCTTATTTATAAAGTATTAAAGTTTTTTGCTGTGAATAGAAAGGAACTAGTGGGGCATGGAGGAAATTGTATGCTGAGAAACATGTGTTTTGTGTTGTTACTGTGTTAGTATTAAGGAGGTTATGGTGGGGTGGACATGTAACTAGAATTGAGTAAGAGATATATGCAGAAGCTTTGGAATGTAGCCAGTTACAAGGTAGACATGTATGGTAAGATATCGTTACAGCACATCTCATGAAAATGGTTGATGAATTGAGCAGGACTTTTACCTTCAAAATCCAGTGTCTTAGTGAAGTTTTACCAGTATAATGAAAGGCTCAAAAAACTTTTGACTTAACATGTACACTACATTTTTTTTCTGTTGTATTAGAGTTTGTTGCTTATGTGCATTCAATTAATATGACTCAGTGTAAGCAAAAAGGTACCATTTTGACATCTTTAATACCTCCATATGTGTGTGAAAGTATTATGATTCTTCTGTTAATCCACCAAAAAAAGGTGAACTTATCACTGTGCTTAATTATTTAAGCACTGTGCCATGGAGGTATAGCTCCACCTTTCTTGACCTCGGTACTAGAAGGTGAGTGCTCAGCTTCACACCCTTGCTGCTTTACTCTAAGGAGAAATCCTCCCCCCATACCCATTGGATAGTACCCTGGGTGGGCCCAAGAGCCAGGCTTGATGCTGTGGAGAAAAGAAGAATCTTGCATTGCCGGGAATTGAACACAAACCATCTAGCCTGTAGCTCATCGCTGTTCTAAGTAGCCTAGTTTCTTTGAGTGGGGTGAGACTGAGTCCACTTGGTAAGTTGGCCACTATTTGGCCTATTGTAGCAGCCCCAGGTGGTGGATGATGATTGGTAGGGGAAACTGAAATACTTGGAGAAAACCTACCCCATTGCCACTTTGTCCACCACAGATGCCAGTGACCTAACCTGGGCTTGAACCTGGGCTGCCATGGTGGAAAGGTGGCGACTAACCCCTTGAGCTATGACACAGCCAGCCAGTCTGTGAACTAACTGAACCATCCTGACTGTTAATCATCTTAAGAACAAAATCATATGTTATTGTTTCAGTTTCATAATGCAAAATTTAGTTTTATGGTAAGTTTTGAGAATATGCAGCAGGAAGTAGCTCCTGTTCTCCAGCATACACTAAATCTTGCCTTATGTTAAAAGACAGTATAGGGAGCTGGTAACCTGTTGTAGGGTCACTAACTGCAGGTGCTTTAATTTAACCTGAAACCTTGTTTGAAAGTTTGACCTCGTGGAGGATGGGTGAGGAGAAATTTTGAGATGAACAAGGAAGACACATGTATGATTAAATGTTTTGTTTTAGAAAACAATCTAACAGGGTTTATTTAATATGCTTTCATGATAAAGGGATATCCATGAACAGAATATGTCATACATGCCTAGTAGTTGGTCATTGTATTTTACAAACCTGTATCAACTTCATACATGAACAGACTATTGAATGGCAGATTTGTTAACCGTGAAGGATGGAGCAGAAGGGATGTGAAACAAAGCTGCTGTGGCTCTTGTTAATTTGCCATTATTTTATGGAATCTGCCTTGAACTCAATAAAGCTACGAAAAATCTCAGGACAGGTGTGTTCTGAATGAAAGTCTGTGTACTGGTCTTTAGCTACTGTTTCCATTTGTGGGTGTACATTTACTTAACAGTAAAAGGAGGAAAAGTTCCATAGAGTTAGGATAGTTTTGTAATGGAAAGGACAAATATTTACATTCTAGTTTTTTGAATAGTGACTGTGTATTGTTTTATAGGTGATGATAATGTTTGAGAGGAACCTGCTATGTTTGTCTTCAGGGTAGAAATACTCGTTACCTTTGTCTGGTTTGTATATAGGGTATATATTGTACCTTTATCTGTATCTGAACTATTCAGTTTAATGAGAATGTATATACTGCTCATGGAAGAGCAGTTTCCAAGGAACAGGCTGTAAAGCTTAGTGTTGTTAATAAAGACTAATGCTGGTTTTGTTAACTCTTATATGACTGAAATGTTACCGACATTATGTAAGGTACAGTTATTGTGATTATGTAACATTATTCACTAATATTGAGGTACTGTTATTAAATTTCTCCTGTGCTTGAAATTATTGGAGACTAATTCTGTTGTTGAATTGTTTTGTCTTGAGCTGCTACCTCACTGTAGTCCTGATATTTTATTATTGAATGATTACATAGCCAAGAAATTTTACATATGCATACATAACAAATGCATGCACATTGTGCATGAAATATGGTTAGCTCAGCAGTAATATTTTTGACTCATACTCAGGAAGTACCCACTTCAAATCTTGCATAGGACAACAAGTTTTTGTTACTTAATTGTGTATGATGAGACATTTTTATTGTGATTTGTAAGTGGTGCCCCAGGAAGGCAATTTATGTGGTGTGACTGTCAACTGAGTTTATGTAGTGTGGAAGTTTGTT